CTCCTCCTCCTCATCCTTCAGCTTGTGTGGCGACCCACTGTTGGAAGCGGACGGCCCTCTCTGACGTGCCGCGTTCCGCCGGGACGAGGGCAGCAGCGAGCGCCTTGTCACCGTGGAATTCCAGCGGCTCAGGGTCGAGCCGATCGAGGCGCAGGCTGCTGAGCGGCTGCCACCACGGCCGCGCCGTGGGCAACGCCTGAGAACAGGGCGAAACCGCATCCAGATCAGGCCTGCCTGCCTTTGACCAGCTCGGGAGCTGTCTCTAGCAGCCTGCACGCGCCTTGCAGAGCTCCGAGCCGACTCACGGGCTGGCCCACGCGCGTCGCCACTTTCAGCGCGTTGGCAATCCGATGCAGCCATGTGGTCCCCGCGGGTGACTTTCGGCCAGCGCGCTTCAGACACGGGAAGCCGACTAATCCAACGGGGCTGCGCGCCTCGCCCACGGACCTTGTGCCTCAGCTGGTCGCCCTCCACCGTGTGCACGTCGATCCACTCGTGCCCGGCTTGGCAGAGGCGGACCTGCCGGGCCTCGGCGAGCTTCGGCTGCGCGTCCTCTGGGCAGGACCCTACCGCTGTTACTCGCTCGTCGGTGCGAGCGCCACCAGGAGCGAGAAGTTGAGGCCCACCCCTTGCGATGCTGGAGATGCCTACCCCGAACGGCCTGTCAACGCAAGCGACACCAGGAGGACGAAGTTGATGTCCATCTCGGGGCTGCTGGAAATGCCCCCCCCCATCGCCTGCCCTCCGCAGGCGATTGGGGGGGGCCGTGTGGACTTCAACTTCACACCGCCACTGGCAGTGCGAAGTTGAAGTCCACCTCCTGCGTTGCTAGACGCACGACGGCCTCTCAGGGCACGCGCCGCCACGAACGCGGAGTTGATGCCCACCACTTCCACCGCTGCTGGAAAGCTTTCCCCCCAACGGCAAGACAGCGCAAGCTCCACCAGTGCCGCGCCAGGGCCCGTCCGAAGCCGAGGTAGACGCGGAAGAGCTGCTGCGTGTGGTGCGTTGCGCCTCCCCTCCAGCCGATGTCCTTGCGCGGGATGCCGCGCGCGAGGCGTCAGGCATGGCGCCCGCCCACCGCGTGGGATGCGTCGGCATAGGGATCTCAGCCTGCTCAGGGGTCGCTGAGTGCGGCACCTTACCTACGTCGCGCAGGCCGACGCACAGGACTCCGAACTCGCCTCGAATGTGCCATTGCCCTCTCGTCGTTGCTCCACCTAGCCCGAGGGGCGGCAGTGCTTGCTCGCAGCCGCTCAGCGACGTCGTTGCTCTGGACCGCGTCCCACTCCCGCCCCTCCGGCTGCGCGCGTTTCGCTCGCTCGCGCGCCCGACTGGGCCAGGCGTGGGCGAGGTCCTACGAGAAAGGTCATCAACGGACTCGATTGAGTTTCTGAGCCCAAGGTGTGCGCGATCACGAACCATTATATGGGTGCACAACCTCGGGCCGCCAAGCATGTGCTGCAACGCCGAGCCCAGGGCGCCGCACTGCTCAGCATGACCGCGCCCCCAGCACCCGGCGGGGCGCGCCTGAGGGAAGCTCCTGGGCACCTCCACCACGCGAATTCACGGCGGCCTCGATACCACCATCTCCATGATCGCAGGCCTGCGCGGGTCAGCGGGCGACCCGGTCACCGCCTGCACTGCGCGCTCGCCACCCTCAGCGCCTTTGGGACACGATGAACCGGTCGATCGACCTCTGAGACCCAGGGCCTCCAGGACCTTTCGACCTCTGTCGAAATGCGCGTGGCCTCCAGGGTGTTCACGACCACCCCCTCGAAGTATGTCAGCACTCCGCTCCAACTCTTCCTTCGTGCAGTTGAAGTCGCCCCCCCCAACGTAGGGGCGGCCTTACTCGCGCAGCCTGCACGCCAGGTCGCGCAAGGTTTACAGGTTGAAGGCGTTGACCCTGCGCCAGACTCTCAGCACACGTTCGCCATTACCCTTCCCCCAGGAGTAAGCCCCGCGTGGTGAAGCAGCTGCGCTCGCCCGTCTCGAAACACCGAAGCACCGAAGGACGGCGCCGCTCGCCTCGAACACAGGTCAGCAAGCCTCCCGTGGCGAGCTCACCCGCCCGAGAAGGAATCGTCGCAGCACCACCGCAAGGGCGCCATCCCCGACGGCATCTGCCGTGCGCTCTTCTCTGCGCCTCACACTTTGAAGAGCACCACGTCTCACTCGACCAGCTCGTGCGCCAGCCACTTATCAAAATTCGTGAACGCGTTGATGTGCATCGTGCCGATCTCTTCCAGCTTCAAGCAACATCACCCCTGACGCGGCTTCTCCCGTAGCCGGACGTGCTCCTGGAGATCGCTGACCACCTCTGATTCTCAATGCCACCCTGGCATTGAGTCGGGCGTGTCCCTCTACAGGGGAATATTCCAAAATCTTCATAAACAAAACTCAAAAAATAGCCAGTGGATTATTAGTTGTTAAAACCATTTTGGAGCATTCTTAGTGTATTTGTTTGGACATGTTTTATTTTTCGTCCAAAATCCACCTGTAGGGGGACATGCCCGACCTGACCTTGGCAGAAGTCGTCAGCCGCCTTCGCGAAGCTCTGATCGTTGACGGTGACCTGCATGGCGACGTCCTCGTCCTCGGGCACGGGGGGCTCAACTGCAGCACGCGCAGCAGGACCGAGACCAGCGCTGGAGGCCGCCTCGGCCGACACAGGAGGAGGAGGAGGAGGAGGAGGAGGAGGAGGAGGAGGAGGAGGAGGAGGAGGAGGAGGAGGAGGAGGAGGATGAGCAAAAGGACGAGGAATCCGAGGAGGAGGAGATGGTGCCACACCGGCCTTGCCACCTTCGTCTGCCAGCGTGGGCAGCAGGGCCATGAGGGGCTGCGCAGCCGCCCCCGAGGTCGATGTTCTGCAGCTGGTGCTCGATAGTCTTAGCCATGGGTTTGGTACTGCGAGGATGCTGCTCAGCAGAAGGACCTTCCTGCACCACCGACTTGGCCGTCTCGACAGCGGCGTCGAGCTCATACCTGCAGCTTGGCCAGTTGCTGCTGTTGGAGGTGGGCCGAGTGGAGGGCTTCGACAGCCGCCTTCTGCTTCTTGTCGTAGTCACATGTTTGCCCTTCTGCAGCCCGCGGTAAGCCTCGTCTGCAGCGACCTGCTCCGACTTGACCACCGTGATGCCGGAGGGGTCGCCGAGCTCGCGCTGCACCAGGGACCTGGCTTGCCGCAGACTCTGCCTGTCACCGTGTCCCAGATACACCGAGAACAGCTTGAGGTCACCGTCGGACATGGCCACGTGGCGCTAGCGAGCCTCGGCGGACAGCCTGGGGCGCCAAGGCAACCCCTCGCTTCCCACCGGTGGCCCGCTCCTGCGCCCGCCCCCCCGCTCCATGCCACGGCGGCCTCGCAGCCCCGCCAGGCCCGCGGGCCCGAGCACCCGCGGCAGCACGACCACTATACCACGAGGTACACCACGACGCGCTGGGTGGTGGGCTCCGCAGGCGGCCTGGCGGCAGCGCGGCCTCCACCCCAGGCTGTGGTATCCGCAGCTCGTGTTTTGAGTACCCATCGGTCGTTGAGAGTAATTGGGTATTTTTTGGATTCCCAGATTCCAATCTACTTTCAGCGCCTTCCTACTTCGAGAGTCGAGTGGTTTTCCCTCTTCCCTCCTCTTCAGGAGGCGGGCGGAATTCAATCTATTTCCAACGCCTTCCTACTTTATGTTTCTACCTACTTCTTCCGACCGATGGGTAAGTGTGTCGCCAGGGTTCGGGAGGGAAGGGCCTGTTTTTTTTGTCGAGTCGGTGCCGCTGAGTGGCGCACGGAATTCAAGCGAATAGACGAAGCCGTTTTAGTCCAGTGGCGCAAGGGGTGGGGATTCCAAACGTGTGCCCGGGGGGGCCTTCCCGCCCTGTTCCCCGCGCCGCTCCCCGGGTGCACCGTTTGCGCTGGCTTCTTCGTCGGGCAGACGCCCGACGACCAACCGCGGCGACACGCCTCGCTTGGTCTCCGTCGCCGCTGCGGTCGAACCCCTTCGGAGGCGGAGGCACCATGCTGACGTCGGCGGCGAGCCCCCGGGGGGGAAGTGAGAATGATCATGCCTTCTCAGAAGGCTCGGAAGTCCCCCAGCCTTCTGGGAGGTACTTTCTGAGCCTTGCCCGAATACATACAATAATTTTTCAGAAGGCGCGAGTGCTTCTGAGAAGTCCCGCCGCCTTTGAGAAGGCCTTCTCCTTCTCACGTCCCCCACCCGGGCTCGCCGCCGAGGACGCCTGGCGCACCTGGTTCAAGGAAGGAAAAAACCACCCGGACCGGACAATTGGCGTGTACTAAACGGCCCTGGGCGTTTACTAAACAGCCCTGCCCTGTTCTATTCCCTTCGGGCGCGTGTACTACACGACTTTGCGTGTCCGGGTGGCTATTTTCGGGGTGGATGTTCTGCCCTCTACTGGTGCCGAGCTGCACGACCGGGGCGATCCAGGCGGCCTCGCGAGCTGCCGCCTCAAGGCAGAGGCATCCGTGCTCTGCCCGATTCAAGAGAGCACCGTGAGCCAACTGGGCTGCGGAGCCGAGGAGGGCAGAGGAAACGCGGAGAGAGGAGAGAGGAGGAGGAGATGGTCCTCCTCCCCCTCCTCTCTCGTCTTTTTTCTCCTCCTCCCCCTCCTCCTCTTCCTCCTCTCCTCCTCCCCTCTCCTCTCTCCCTCCTCTCCTCCTCCCCCTCTCCTGAGGACGAGGGAGAGAGGAGCAGAGAGGAGGATGATGATGATGATGATGATGATGATGAGGAGGAGGAGGAGGAGGAGGAGGAGGAGGAGGAGGACGACGAGGACGAGGGGGAGAGGAGCAGGCAGAGAGGAGGAGAAAGAGCAGGAGGAGGAGGAGGAGGCTGAGGAGGAGGAGGAGGAGGAGCAGGAATGGGAGGAGGACCAGGAGAAGGATCAGGAGCAGGAGGAGGCCGAGGAGGAGAACGAGGAGAGGAGGAGAAGGGGAAGGAGGACGAAAGAGAATCATGATGAGGAGGAGCCCCAGCCCTCGCCAGGTCGACGTACCCTTTGCACATGGCGTCCGAGGCGGGGGACTTGGCAGATGACGACGACGACGATGACGACGTCCACGTCTTCGATTTTGAACTTTTGGGGGGCCACGGCTGGGCCCAGCTCGACACGCTGGCCAGGATGAACCCTGGGACCTGGGAGGGGGCTGTGGACCGATAGGGGCTGACCCCAGGCGGGAGCGACGACGATGAAGGCCACGACGCCGAAGACGATGTGACCACTGCCACGACGCTGACCACGTTCATGACGGCGCCCACGATGGTAGACGGGTTGCCCTCCGTGACACTGCGTCGCTGACAAGCGACCGTCACGTTCACCCTCTGCACGTTTCGCGCCCTGCCATGACCCCGACGCCGCCGACGACGACCACGGCCACGACGACGACGACGACGAATCCCTGGCACCTGGCAGCCGAGGCAGCGGACCAGCAGATGGTGAAGATGCTGCTCGACGAGGGCGCACCTCTCCGCGGGGGCTCGCTGTCGTCGTCGTCGTAGTCGACGCCGAGTTGCGGTGGTGGCGATCGTCATTATTTTTGTTCTGTATCGTCCATCCTCATCGTTCTTCCCTGCACTCATCCTCATTCCTGATCCCTCATCTTCCGTCTGCTCTCTGGCTACACAGCCGCCAGACCGAGACACACGAGCCCATTTCATCAACAGGATGATACTAGCCCCTAAAATGCAAGCGATGCTGGAGGAATTCTGAGCTGCATTCTGCCGCACGGATGCAGGGTTGCCAGCACAGTGCGATGATCAGTGCAACATCCGGCGGTTTTCGGCTCATGTTGCCAGGATGCGCGGGTCGTGAACAACATGTCTTTCACAGGCTTCTTTGGGCTTCCTGGCGTTTTCCTGCCTCCCGTCTGCATGAATGGTACAGTCAACCATGATAGTAAGGATGGGGCAACTTTCCAAGGCTACCCTTGCATCCTTGCCCCTTCGGTAGTCGGCATCCTTCGGCATTCTGCTGCGCTCCGCACGGAAACGTCAACATGGCGTTCCAAGGCCCTTACATCCTTACCGCGCATCCTTACTATCCTGGTCGAGGGTAACGCACAGCGTGTTCACACTATGCGTCAGTGAGCCCAGCGCCAGCGCGAAGACCGTTGTTCCAAGGGCTCCCACGAGGGTGCGAAGTTATTCGCGCTTCGCGGTCCTCGTTCCTTCTCCTCCTCCTCCTCCTCCTTTTCCTCCTTTTCTCCCTTTGGGGGGGTGGCGCGAGAGCGCGAAGTTATTCGCGCTTCGCGCTTCGCGCTGCGCGAAGCGCGAAGTTGGGAGCCCTTGTCGTTGTTCGGGGCGGGCAGCGGTGCCGACGCTGGACGCACCTCTCGCACGGCACGGCTCGGGATGCCTCCGGCGCGGATCTCGGACCACGAGAGCTCAGCGTCTGCTTTTCCGACCGGTCTTCTTGTGAGTCCTATCTTCAAGGGCTCCCACGAGGGCGCGAAGTTATTCGCGCTTCGCGGTCCTCGTTTCTCCTCCCCCTCCTCCTCGTCCTCCTTTTCTCCCTTTGGGGGGGGCGGCGCGAGAGCGCGAAGTTATTCGCGCTTCGCGCTTCGCGCAGCGCGAAGCGCGAAGTTGGGAGCCCTAGTTGTTCTTCTCTTATTACTCGAAAGTTCTTTGATTTTTTGGGGGGGCCAAGATCCTTTCATTTCTACTCGTTCTATCCTGGGCCTCTTCCTGGCCACTAGGGGGCCAGGAACAACTAGAAACGAGCACGATTAGAAATGAACGACGTGTAGAGGTTAACACCAACACCAACGTTGGTGTGCCCCCACAGAGGCAGGACGAGCCTGATCTCGGCGAGGGTGGCACTGTTGGGGCTTCGAGGTGGCCGACGTATTACCACCAGCACCCACTTCTAGGATCACCTTGCCCTGATGGAGGCAGCCCCCCTGTGTTGGTGTCGTTGCGCATTTCCAAGCCTCCAGAGTTGAGTTGTCGCCCTCCAGAGTTGAGTTGTCGAAGCTACGGAACATACGTATCGTGTGCGAGAGTTCGAGTCATTGTTTGTAGGTTTATATGCGCAGGAATAGCTCTTCGTGTGAATCACTGTTGTAGTCGAGCCCTGACCTGTGCAGGTGGACAGCGGGCGTCCTCCTGTCTGTAAGCCTCCACATGCGGGCTCTGAGGGAGCGACGAGTCGCCAGCGGGGCCTGTTGCTCTTCCGCGCGCGGGGAGGGCGGGAACGCAGGCGCCGACATCCTGCAGAGGGACTCGACCGGCAAGACTGCCCGGGAGGCCGCGTGCCTCTCCTCCTCGAAGTGCCTCCGCTCTCCAGGGAGGAGGAGGAGGGGGAGGAGGAGGAGGAGGAGGAGGAGGAGGCGGAGGAGGAGGAGGAGGAGGAGGACGAGGAGGAGGAGGACGAGGAGGAGGAGGAGAAGGAGGAGGGGAGGAAGGAGGAGGGAGGAGATGGGAGGAGGAGGAAGGAGGAGGAGGAGGATTGGAGAAGGGAAGAGGAGGCAAGAGGAGGAGGAGGGAGGAGGAAGGAGGCGGAGGATGATGGGGAGGAGGCCTCCCCCCCCCCGGAGCCCGAGGGCCTGGAGACGACCGCACAGCGCCGGCGGGCAGGCTAGCGGTCACCTCCTGGGTACACCTCGCGCGCGGCGCATCGCGAGGCGCGATGCGCGAAGTCTGATGACTTGGGTGCATCCTCCTGACCTGCTGGGTTGGATGAACCTTGTAGTCCTCGAGGATCGAGGATCGAGCCGATTCCCGAATGGTTGGATGAATCGAGGATCGAGGTGGGGGTCCACCGGACGCGTCCGGCCAGGAACGTCGGCCTCCGGGCCTCCATTTTTTTTTTTTCACCTGCCTCTCTTGTCTTGTCTTACTCTCTTGTCTGTGGTAACGGAGTAGTTCATCAATTACAAGACGCAGCTCGATTTCATGCACGCCTGGGTGCCGCATTTGCCGCCGACGCGCCCTAATTAGGGCGTACGGCTCTGTCCTGTCCTGTCCTCTTTGTCCTAGCTTGGGCCGTCCGCCTGCTTCACCTCTGAACAACCGCGTTGCAGTGCCGCAAAGATTATGGTGGTGCTTCGGAAATTTGTGCACGCTTCAGGGGGGGTGCTGGCCTTTGCGCTCGGGTGAGTTCACCGCGGCGGACCGCTGGGTCTCTGCCCGCTTAAGCTTTTAGCCCGCGCGCCCTTTCGAGCTGGCACCTGCGACGTTTTGACTTGGCGTGGTGCGTGCTGCAATCACTTGTATGCCTCAGTCGCGCAGCGCGGAGCTGACCAGATGATCTGTCAACCGCTGTTTCCAGCACGACGCAGACAGTTCCATCCAGAGAGGATCGCTTAGGCTTGGAGGGGAACAGAAAAACGCAGCATGCCAAGCGGCGCCCAGCTCCCTGATCACAGATGTATGTCAGCGGGGGCCCCGGACTGTGAATACTTTCGCCGTCGACGTGCAATTCGTTTCATGCCCTTCGCGCATACCAAAGTGGGTTGGAGTCCAGGTAGCGCCATGTAGGTTGTATAGGTGTAGTTCAATATACGTGGTGCAGTGTATGCGGCACGACGTCTACGATCAAGCCACGTCTACGTGACTCCCCGACTGGCCGACTCCCCGACTGGCCGACTCCCCGACTGGCCGACTCCCCGGCTCCCCGACTCCCCGACTGGCCGACTCCCCGACTCCCCGACCCCCCGACTTCCCGATTGGCCGACTCTCCGACTCCCCTACTGGCCGACTCCCCGACTCCCCGACTGACTGATTCCTGGACTCCCTCACGCCCCGATGAGCAGTCGGAAAGTTCATTTTGGTACCTCAAAAATTGTCCTACTCACCCAGAGGGCGCCGAAGGGGGCCTGGGCGGTCCGAGAAGCGAGGAGGGAGAAGGAGCAAGCAGCGAGACAGGAGCAGCCCAAAGTCGGTCTTTGAATTCAAAACATGGCTTTTGAGTCAAAGCAAAGTCTTTGAATCCAAAAACGAGCGCATCCGGAGCGCAGCTGGAGGGGGTTCGGGCGAGGGGGGAGGAAGGAGGCTTCCTGCTCTCCTCCCGCTCTTCGTCGCCCTCCTCCGCATGCTGCAGCTCACTCGCGCCTCGCGGCCTGCGGGCCGGCCCCTTGGTCGGTGCCGCCTGTGACTTCTGCGGGACTCTGGGGCCAGACGTCGGCCTACGCACACGTTGCAGGGCAGCACAGACTGCCAGCCTGCTGCTGCTGCTGCTCCTCCTTCTCCTCCTCCTCCTCCTCCTCCTACGTCCTCCTCCTCCTCCTCCTCCTCCCCCTCCTCCTCCTCCTCCTCCCCCTCCTCCTCCTCCTCCTCCTCCTCCTGCTCCCCGAGCGGTTCGGGATCCGGCAGCTGCTGACGTGGACGTGGGCCCACGTCCAGACGTCGCCGCGCCGCCGGTTCTCGACGCGCCCCAGGGAGGGACGCCGACACCAGGGCAAACCCAGGACAGCCTCCGTGTCCGAGGCGGAGTTTGCCCTGGTGGCCGAGCCTTCCCTCCCCAAGGCGGAAGGCCGCGCGTCAGAGCAAACGGCGCGGCGACAGATAAGTTCGATGCTCGTTTTGGGGAGAGGTTCGACTCAGGTTCGACTCCAGCCGACGGACGTTCGACGCAGCTTCGGCGCACGAGCGGAGCGATTGGCTCCAAGAAGGTCCCCAGACTTGACATCCGAGATGAAACCCTCCGTGGTTGAGCCATTTGGGGCTCAGGCGTCCGTGCCTCCGGCCTGCGGGGCGTTGCTGCGCTCCTCCCTTTTTCGGCGCGGGGGGTGCGCCCCTCCGTTCGCCCCCCCGCCATGCAGCGGCTCCTGGCGTGCGCGGGCGCGGCCGCCCTGGCCGACGGGAAGGTCCCGGGGCGCCAGAAGTCGGCGGGCTGCGCAGGGAGGTCAGAAAGCATCGACAACAAATATCACGGTGAAGACGTGGCCTCACTTCGGTCCCCGTGTCTGCACCAGGGAGGATGACTCTGGGCGGCTGGGCTGCACATAGCTTCAGAACATCGAAGCATACAAAAAAACGCCATAGAC